TGCTGCAAGCCTTACAATTTTGTGGATTAGTTCCAGTTTTTAAAACCTCAAACTCAGCATCATCATGGTTGTTTTAGAAGGTGGCGGTGGTGTTGTTACCATCGGCAACAACCAATATTTACAACCCGATTATTTGGCTCCAATGCAAACAACGGTTAGTATTTTTACTAAAAAAAAACTAAAACCCAACAATTGTAAAAATACAAAAAATAAAATAAAAATAGTCTTGGAGCTAGGAAAAAAATTTGAAATTTTTGGTTTGGACATTTAATTTAAAAAATTAATAACAAAATAAAAATTTTCAAAGTTTTGAAAGAGTAAAACATAAATTACAAATGGAAAAAACTTAAATATTTCCGAAATTGGAAAATAAAAACATTTCAAAAAAGAAAATTAATTAAAAAATGAGATATTGAAGAAAATTTTAAAAAATAAAATAGTTTTAAAATAATTCCGAAAGGACATTCGAATATTACAAATTAAACGGATTATGAAATTAAAAAAAAATGAAATCGGAATGTTGGAAATTTAAAATTTCAAAACAACAATTTCCTATACAAAATATCTAAAATCAGAAAAAAAATATTTTGAAATCTAAATATTTTTTTGTTATGTTTGGAAGATATACACATTTTGGATAGGAAAATATTACAAATTTTAAGAGCCCAAAAAAATTATCCCAAAAATAATTTCCGTCTTAAAAATATATTTGATAATAATTTTTTTAATAATAAATTTTTAAAAAGTCTGATTTGAAAAATAATCAATGAAAATTAAAAACCTAAAAATATTAAACGAAAATATTGAACAAATTTGAAAAATCTAAAAAAATGTACCATTCATTGAAAAATATATTGGAATTTTTTTTCAATATTTTTCAAATTCATTTTCAATTTTAAATTTTCAAAATATTTTTTTGTTAGTTAAAAAAAAATTAAGACATTTTGAAAATTAAAAATTTTTAATAATTTTTCAATATCTCAAATTTGATTTTTTAAGTTAAAAAAATTCAAAATATTTTGATATTTTGTTTTTATTTTAAAAATAAGGAATTTTTTGTTTGAAAAATACTTGATAAAAATATCTTTAAAGGACTCCACTATTTGGAAACGTTGAGTTTTTTACATTATTTTTAATGGAAGTATTGAAAACATTTAAAACAAATATTCAATTTTTTTTAATATTTAATAATTAAAAAAAATATTTGAAATTTTATAGTTAAAAGTTTTGAAATAGTTAAAAGTTTCAAAACTTCTAAAATTTAAAAAATCTCCTAAAAAATTTAAAAAATTTCAAGAAAATATTGAAAAAAATTTAAAAAAAAATATTTAAATTTTTTATGTATTTATTCAAGATTCTTTGAAACAGCCTTTCAAAATTCCAAACTTCAATATTTTTAAAATCACAGAAAAAATATATATGCATCCGACGGCATTTTTCCCTCCATAAGGATTTTGAAAATTCAATAATTTTTCAAAACTAAAATTTAAAATTTAATCCAAAATAATTTCAATTTTTTTTTAAAACACTTAAAATTTACCGACGGCTATCTTTACAAATCAAAATTTTATTTCAAACAGCTCCAAATTCAAATTTTATTTTTTTCTACAAAAAAAATTTCCAATTTCCCTTTAAAAAAAATCCCCACAATACTAATTTCCCCCTCTTTTCCTCTTTATCACTGTTCACAAATCGGTGCCGATTCATCGGCCGTTAAACCCCTATTGGCATTGGATAAATCGAAAAAATCCGGCTCCTCCTCATCTGCCTCCTCAACATCGTCCAGCGTTAGCTCAGAATCCGGATCAGCTAAATCACCCACACAAGCAAAATCTCCCAAATCCACAACGCCGACCACCACAGAAGTTAAATTGGCCTTTAAGCCATACGAAACCAATGTGTTGAGTCAACAAAATCAAAATAGCTTCAAATCATCCGCCGCATCATCGACAGAAATGGAATCGAATCGTCCTAGTTCAAAGGCATCATCACATAATGGCGAGAGCACACGTGTGCCATCCCGCAACAAGTCAAATAGTTCACCGGAAAATTTCAATAAGTCACAGGATTTGTCCACATCGGGTGGTTCCAGCACGCCTCATGATACCAGCCGTAAAACTGTGTCACCAGCTGGTTCTTCACAGCGTGGAGCTAGTCCCATTGTACGCTCCGGCATGGAGGTGTTGAATAATGCCAATGGGTCAGCCCAACATCCCAAGGAAATGAGCAGCATGGCCCAAGCAGCTGCTGCTGCCGCCGCTGCCTATAAGGCTGCCGGTGCCCCATATGGTTTGAATCCCCTCTCGGCCTTGTGTTGTCCTCCCGGTATGGAACAACATGCTGCCGCCAATCCTGCCTTCCGCCCTCCATTCGCCGCCGGTGGTTTCTCTCATCATCATGCCGCCATGTTGGCTGCCGCTGCTGCCAATGGTGGTTATCCTGGCGGCCCAGGTGGTCAACAACCCAATCCCTACATTAGTTATCAACGTATTAAGACTCCCACGGGTGGTGAAGCTATTGTGCCGATTTGCAAAGATCCCTACTGCCCAGGCTGCCCGTACTCTGCCCATACCCAGCAAATGTTGATGGGTGCTCCCTGTCCTGCTGGCTGCACGCAGTGTGAACATCAGAAATATGGTATGGCTGCAATGATGGGCGCCGGTGCTGGTTTGCCGCCAGGTCATCCCTACTCACAGGCTGCTGCAGCCGCCGCTGCAAGTGCTGCTGCTGCCCGTTCCGCTCCCTATGTCTGCAGTTGGGTTGTCGGCGATGCTTATTGTGGCAAGAGATTCCAAACTTCGGATGAGTTGTTCACCCATTTGAGGACCCACACTGGTAATTTGTCAGATCCTGCTGCCGCCGCCGCTGCATTGGCCCAATCTCAAGCTCAATCGCTGTTGGGTTCCCTGTTTCCTCCTTCGGCATTGAGAGGTGGTTATCCTGCTCCCCAACTTAGTCCCATGTCTGCTGCTGCCGCCGCCGCTGCTGCCTCACGTTACCATCCCTATGCCAAGCCACCAAGTGCCATGGCTGCAGCTGCTGGAGCCTCACCATTTGGTCCACCCGGTGCATTCAATCCCGCCGCCGCTGCTGCTGCTGCCGCCTTGGGTCCCTACTACTCACCCTATGCCATGTATGGTCAACGTATCGGCTCGGCGGCCGTTCATCAATAAATCTCGCCCACTACCCGCCCAGCTTTGATGTGAAGCCAGTGTGAGCTTTGAGCTAGAAAAGCAATAACACCGTGACCCCCGTGACTTGCCGTGGGGCTACTAGTGAAAGTGATCTTTACAACAACAACCACAAACACAACCATCTCATGAATGTCATACCAAAAAGAAAAAAACGAAAGTAAAGGAGGAAGACAGAAATAAGCAAAGGAGGCAGACAAAAAAGGGATTCCTCGGTAGCTAGCAAATGGCGCCCGACATGCCATTAGAGGAGGCGTTTTCAAAAGACTTCTTGCGGTTTCTTTTGGAAACATATACCGCTCATTATTGGTGAAGATGAATACCCAGCAGAGATCCTCCCATTGAAAAAAGAAGAAGAACAAAAAACATTAAAGAGTCAAAAACCGTCCAAAATATGTGGACTGGTTTCAATACTGTGATACTAAATTGTAGTTTTGAAAAAAAAAAACAAAAAAACAAATAGTTTGTTAGTTTTAAAAAACAAAACAAAAAAAAAACCTAAGTGGAAAATAATTTTTATTAAGACAAAAAAAATCCAAAAACAACAAAAAATTCATTAAAAAATATATTTTTTTTCATTAAAAAAAAAAAAACAAAAATAATTATTTTTTGTTTTGTTAAAATTTTTTAAACAGCCAAAGCATACAAGAAAAAAATATTTCCAACAAAAAAAGCAAAATTAATGCAAAGAAAAAAATCCCAAAACTTCCATAATTTTGTTGCTTTTTTATGAGAAAGAAAAAAATTCAAATTGCTTTGTTCGTTTTTTATTAAAAAAATTATTACAACTTTATTATTATTATTCTTTTAGTTATTTAGTGCTTAAGTTATTTTTTATATATAAAAAATATACATAATAAATTTAAATGTAATTTTGCCTAGTTTTATATATCTATGATTGCTATATATCCAACAAAAAACATATGTCTTTGTATCCCAAAAAATATAAATACAACAACTCCAATACAATCCAAACATCTTAGATTTGCTCTATATATATGTATGTGTATTACAACAACAACAATTACATCAAAAAACCTATAATTGATCTTATAACTACAACAAATTAATAAGAAAAATCCACTATATACACAATAATAATTATTATAATTGTATATTTTTCATTTGTTTGGACAACAACAAGAAGAACAAAAACAAAAAACACTTTATAAATTAAACTTATTATTAAAAAACAAAACACACACACCCACAAAAACCTTAAAAAAAAACAAAAATGAAAAAAATATAAAACAAAAAAATTTGAAAATTTTAAATCCATATCTTTTATTTTCTATATGAAAAATTGGTTGGGAAATTTTGGGAGTAAAAAAGAGAAAGGGAAATTTGGGGAAAAGGGAATAAATTTCAGGGAAAACAAATATATCATTACAGGCATACCAAATCATGCAGAATTGATGATTTGATGTCTGAATGGTTCTAATAGAAATTCAAGGGGTCTTAAATCTTTATGAATGGATTTAAATTTGGCTTTGAAATCGTTATGAGTTTCTGAAAAATAAATAGGTTGGTTTTCGGAATAACAATCCCCAGAATTCTAGAATAGACATTCAAAATTAAAAATCCGCAATAAAAATCTTTCTAATGAAATGTCACATTTGTTTTGCCAGGGAGCTCGGATCATTTTGACTACCATACAAATATAGGTCTTCCTTCGAATGGTCTGCCGGTCCTAATTATCGTGAAAATCGTGGCGATAATTGAACTACCATACAAATATTCGATTACCTTGTCGCGTTTGGACGACTGCCATCAAAATATAGGTATTACTTATACTGGTGTTCCGGTCCTAAATGATCTGGGATTATTTTGACTACCATCAACAATATATACGTCATCCTTCGACTGGTGTACGGTTTCCCATTTTCCTGAAGATCGCTTCGATAATTGAGACTATAATCAAAATATTGGATTTCCTTTTCGCATTTGGTCCACAAAGTAGCTCGGATTACTTTGGTTACCATCAATATAGAAGAATTCCTTCGATGTAATACGGGTTCTAATTTTTGTGAAGATCGGTTCAATAATTCAGATTACCATTAAAATACTGGTGCAATTATCGATTGGTGCAATTATTGGTCTTCCTTGGATGGTCTACGGGACCAATTCGACCAATTTCGTGATAATCTGTGTGATAATTTAGACTTGTAGTTTATTTCAGTTTATTATAAATTAGTGCTCCGGTCTGGGGAGTTATGTCAGAAGTTTACCGGTAGACAACTTTTCCTGGATTCGAAATATTACAAATATATTACTAAATTACGGAAAATATAGAAAGCATTTTAAATATGCCATACATTTCTGTGAGGACCTATGTTACAGACTCTTATGTTAGAAAATATACATAGGACCTTCGAAAGAACTAAAATCCGACGAGACTTGTATACCTTCAAAAAACCGGAATAAAACTCTGCACCCGCTTCGTTAGTGAAAATGGGCTACCCCTTTATTATATACACAATTCAGTACGCTGTGCTAAATTTCGTGTGAATCGAAAGAAATATAGAGGCTTCGGAGCACCATTTGCATTAAATCGGACGAACACATATATGGGAGCTATATATGAATCTGAACCGATTTTCACGAAACTTAACACATGTCATTCTATACACAATTCATTACGCTATGCAAAATTTGTGTAAATCGGTATTCTGAGTCTGGGCAATATTTCGCGATATTTGTACACTCTTGACCAATTACAGTTAAACAGTTCCTGTTTCTTACCATGGCATATTTTCCGAATTTTTTATTCCTGGGTTGAACATTTACGATATAGCATGCAAATGGTTTAGTTTTGCACAGAAAGGTCATAGTTGGTTTGATCTTCTAAATTATTGGCCAAAATTACCTCTCCATGGAAAATTTGCATTGTTTAGCTTAGAATTGTGGTGTATAGATCGACTGTAAAAAAACAGTATGGAAAGTAGTAAAGACGGACCTGCGCCGCCTATATGATACCCTTCACCACTTTGGGTATGTTCAACAGATGTATCCTACAGACGATGTACTTCTTCGCTACAACATTGACATACAAGTTTGGGTTGTTGGTTACGCTATACTAATATCAGTATGTTTTGCAAAATTTATTGCCAATCGGTTAGAGTTTCGGTTTTTGTGCATCATTTATTAAAAATTGGACGAAAAAATATGTTGGAGATATATATAAATCTGAACCGATTTCAGCGAAAAATTCCACAAAGTAGGTTATACTAACATTAGTACATTGGGCAAAATTTTCTGAAAGTTTGCAATATTTTGGGTCTTTGGTGCGCCATTAACTGAAAATCGAACGAAACTATATATGGGAGCTATATCTGAATCTGTACCGATTTACACAAAATATTCCACATAGTGGGTTATACTAATTTAAGTTCGTTGTGCAAAATTTTATGGGAATCGGCCCTATTTTGTGGATTTCGTGCATCATTTACTGAAAATCGGACGAAACTATATATCGACGCCTCCGAACCATAGTATGCTAAGTCTGAAAATTGAGTTTTTCAGTAGAAGCTTTCAAAGTATGGAAGTTTCTTAAATCTTACATGCCATGCTGAGTACATTTTTGCTTATAACTTTGGTTTAGATTGACCGATGATTACCAAAATTTCAGAGAATTTTAAATAATGACCGTAGTATATAAAAACGTAAAGAACTTATAAAAATGTTAAGTCGAATGTTAACCAGTAAGGAAAGTAGTAAAGTCGGACGGGGCCGACTATATGATACCCTTCACCACTATGTGTATATTAAACAGGACTATTAACATGAAATGTTACAGACTCTTATGTTAATGAAATAAAATATGTGATATTTATCTAAATGTGAATCTACCTAGATCTATCCATAAACATGTCATTCGTTTGTTACAATGGGACAAAAGTATGTAAATCGACTTCAAACAAATATAAATAGGTCATCTGTTGTCCTATGTCTGTACTTCTAGAAAACGCAACTAAGTAATTCTATGCTCAATTTTATACGTTGTGCAAAATTTGATGTCAATCTGACTAACATGAGGAGTTTGATGTCCAATTTACTTGAAATCGGGCGAAAATATATATGAAAGCTCTATCCAAATATTAAGCGATTTCAAACAAACTTGTCACAGCTTAGGTTATACTAATTTCAGAACGTTTTGTTCCTATCAGCCTATTGGTTCCTTGGTGCGTCGATTACCTTAAATCGATTTATAATAAAAGGGAGCTATATCTAAATCTGGACCGATTTTCTCGAAACTTGGCAGACATCACTCTAGGCTCATTTCAGTACGTTATGCCAAATTTCGTGCAAATCGAAGGAAACATAGGGACTTTGGTGCACCATTTACATAAAATCGGACGAAACTATATATGGGAGCTATATCTAAATCAGGACCGATTTTTACGAAACTTGGCAGACATCATTCTAGGCTCATTTCAGTACGTTATGCCAAATTTCGTGCAAATCGAAGGATATATAGAAACTTTGGTGCACCATTTACATGTAATCGGACGACACTATATATGGGAGCTATATCTAAATCTGGAGCGATTTTCACGAAACTTGGTAGACATCATTCTAGGCTCTATTCGGTACGTTATCCAAATTTCGTGCAAATCGAATTATATATAGGGACTTTGGGGCACCATTTCCCATATATATGGGAGCTATATCTAAATCTGGACCGATTTTCACGAAACTTGGCAGAAATCATTCTAGGCTCAATTCAGTACGTTATGCCAAATTTCGTGCAAATCGAAAGATATATAGGGACTTTGGTGCACCATTTACATGAAATCGTACGAAACTATATATGGGAGCTATATCTAAATCTGGACCGATTTTTCCCAATTTCAATAGGGTTCGTCCTTGGGCCAAACAAATGAGCTGTGCCAAATTTCATCCAAATCGGATCATAAATGCGACCTGTACTTTGCTCACAAAAATACATGGACAGACAGACAGACGGACGGACATGCATAAAT